ATCCTACTGTGTGGTTTAAAATTATCCCTCACATTTTACCCACTGATTTATATGTGTGCAGGCATTTTGTTGTGGTTAATTAGAGCTATGTGGTACCTTCTTGTGCCTATGTATTGGTCATTTTTAACTTCTTTCAGCTCCTATCTCATTACCTTAATATTAAAAGGTTTACCTTAAAAGTATAAGGCAGCAGAATTCCTTAGACTTAATTGTAATTCTAGTGCTGTTGAACTCATCAGAAAAATTATTCATGTGGTCAGCCTTCTGTGAATGCTTTTCCACCTTTATGAATGGTGGCATTTAGCTATTTTGTTCGTACTCATTGTATTCAAACTCTGATTGTGTTTGAAATGCTCCTGTAATGATTTTCCTTGTGGTGAAGTACCATAATTTTAAGTTTTCTGTCACCTATGAGATTTTTTTTCTTCATACTTGTGATTTGACAAATCTTACCCCTTTCTCCTCTACCAAATTTAATTAGACAAACAAGTGGCTCTTTTTTCCTCGACTATTGTATCTTGTTTGTTCTTTTTTATTATTCATAACTTTGTTATTCTGAAGTAAGGAACAATGCTATTATTAAGTAAATTTTCTCAGCTATAATTTCTTGCCATAGTTCCCTCTTCCTTTCATGTCTGTCTTTGGCCTCCACTACAGCATGTAGACAACTTAAGAATGTATTGGATAGTTAATTGATTTTTTTTTCTTCCTGTGCTTTAAACTTAACATCTAGACAAACTGAAGATAATAAGAAAAAAAGTTGAATATGAAGAGGGGAGAAGGGACCTTTAAGTGGAAAGACAAAAATACAGCTGTAGAGCTGGAATTGTCATTTACGGAATCCTTTTAAATAAAAGGAGCAGAGGGGAACAAGACTGTTGACCCCAGAAATCAGGATCAGTTACTTCTACACAGGATAATGATGTATTATTTCGAAAAATGGCTGCTGTTTTTCCAAATGACACGTAAATAATGCTACACATCGTGATAGAAGCAGTGAATGCAAATTACGTTGTTAGGAACATAATTTAAAAAATCATCTGAGTTTGTGAGAGAGGGCTCAACTTACCAAAAGCCTGTATGTGTTCCAGCCTAGGGCCACCTGGAGAATGTGGCAATTCATACGCTCATTAATTTCCAAAGTTACCATGTGTGATGTTTTGTTAAACTGATCAGTTAAAGGAGAAAGTCTATATTCCTGTCAGCCTTTTGATGCTAAAACATGTGCTTGATTCCCAAGTGTAAATGATGCAACTGTGACCTAAAACTTGCTCAGCTATGGGTGCTGTTAAGCTGGCTTTAGTCTAGGGAAACATGTATGAGGAATCCTAAGTGACAGCTTGAAACTCTAAGATTTGTCTTAAAAGAAAAGAAAAAAAAAAAAAAAGCATTCTCAATTTTCTGAAAGCAGACTCTTTTCTTTTTACTTGTTTCTTCATTTTATGTCTATTTAGAGTTTCAGTTTCAAAAGAAGCTGAAAAAAACCTGCATGACTGCTTTGGCTGTCTTGGGCATAATACATTTTTATTGGTATTTCTTAAACTGTGGTGTTTTTTAACATAAGTCAGGAAATATTTAAATTGTCATAGCTTTATTTTCAAATTAATATGAAGTACATTTTGTTTTCCATACTCCTTTAAACCCTTTCAGAATGTATTGGTTTACACTTTCTTTGCTGCAAATTCAGAGTATGCCAAGGTAGCTAATATGGGTACAGGTACTTTTCTACACGGGCATTTAAAAAATAGAATTCTCAAAAACTTCCATTATCACTCTATCAAAAGTATGCTGGCATTAGTAATAATTCCATGTAAGCAAAACAGTAGTGGCAATTCCCTGAGAGTCACTGGAATACACAGGTGTTTTGTTTAATGGGCTGCAGGGCTAGTTTATACAGTGAGTTTTCATTCCTCCTACCATGGTACAGACAGGAAGACAGCTGCAACTCGGTGAAAAACATATCCTAGGTAAGAGTCCTGAATATTTTGCAATACCTCTACCAGTCAAAACAAACAGTTAGGTCACCCTAACCAAGCACAGAGGACTAAAAAACAATGCTGTACTTAACTTGCCTTTATCAACTAAGCCTTAGTATGACTACAGAAGTTTTTGTATATCCAATTTTTATCTCTATTTTTAAAGACTTGTTTGGCAACAAGCAAAGACTTGAAGATAATGCAATTCTGTAAACAAAAAGTTTAATGCTTTTTGTACTGTTCTATTGGGTCAAACATTTTGGTTTTGTTTTCAGCTCTGACAATAAAGTGCTAGTGCTTTTTATCCATAGCTAGTAAGTGCCCCTTACCAAGGCTTTTCAAAACGTTTGAAATCTCTTTTGTTGTACTGGTTTATTCCTCTGTGAATCAGAAGCCTGGTTGTCCTTATATTTCATTAATAATTCCTCAGAAATGTAAAGAGGAAACATAAGTATCTGTGGAAAAGCTTCTCTTGGTAGTACTCACAAATAGTTCCTTGCAATTATTTCTTCATTATTCAGTTGCAACACTTAGTGCTGCGTTGCTTAAAGAATCCAAGATGACTGCATATGCCCTGCACCTTTTTTGTCTTTCAGTGTCTGTGGTATATTTGTTTACCTTTTCAGAATTGGGTGTGCTTTTAGTTCAAATTTCTATCAATTATGTTTGTGAACTTTTACTCACCTCATTTGAAGTTGCATGGATTTTATTTAATTGTTTGCTATGAGTGATCAGGCAACCACTCATTGGTGGAATTGTTTAAACGGTTTTTTTCTTAAATATAAACATGTTCTGTTTCTTAAACAGAACACTTGAAACACTGCATAGCTGATCCATTTCATCAAATACATTAGAACAACTGCAAGTTCCTACATTAAAAATAGCACAGAACAATTCTTGTTAAACATGATGAAGGCATTAAAAATAGATGAACTGAAGGCAGAGACTATGTCTGAAGAAAGATTTCTACCTCTTTTGACATCAATGGGAATTTTACTATTGACTTCAATGGGAGTTGCATATGCAGTGATTTATGCAAATATATATTGCTTTGGAATAGTTAATGGAGTAAAATGGAGGCATTTATAAAACATTTCATAACAAAGTCGTACAGTTTTTCATTAGGGCAAAACACTTGCTTGTTTATTGATGTACATGATTGGTATATGCTGACATATACCAATATTATAAATATCAATATAAATTATGCAAATCATTCTCCCTCATCTGAAAGTAGCTGTTTTGCATTCAGACATCAGATTCAATTATACTACTAAAATTAAGTCCCAAATGAAGTCTTAAATTGGTTTCTGCTTTCACAGCAGTATATAGCAGTGCATTGTTGAGTCACCACACACCTCTCAGTATTTCAGAGCAGTTGTCAGATTGAGGTCTTTATCTTCCAATTCAGAAAGCAGAAATAATAATGATTTATGTACTTTGGCCTCAAACTGCAGCAATTCTAATGCTTCAAGGAAGCCCTGTAATTCTGAAATGTGTGTGTCTGACTCGTTCTGTACTCTTGGATGTTGCAAGACTGTATTTGAGGTTAGCAGTAGTAGAAGAAAATGGGCTTTACGTTAATTTTTGTCACTAAATGTCCGTTGTCTGTATATGGTAGTGACGCATTACCACAAGGAATGGTATTTTCAGAAACTTATGGGATATTTTTAACATTTAATTGAGTTTGCCTATTTCAAGTCAGTTTGCTGCATGAACAATTAAACCCACCATCAGCCTGTCCTGTACTGTTTCATCCATGTGTATAAAAATGACTGTAATGCAGTTATATTAGATATAAAATATCAGAGGTGCATATATAGTCCTTGCAACTTAGTTCTATCAAGTTGTAATAAAATAATACAGCTTTAAGGATTGTCATATTAAAGCTAAATTTCATAGTTGCATGCTTTCCATAGTACATTTGTCTGTAGAAAATTTCTGCTGTATGAGAAAGCAAAGAATCAGTGCACTGATGTCTTAGGTTTTACAGTCCTATAAGCTTACAGTCCTGTAAGAAGAATAAGTGGTAAGGGTTTACTTCTGCCATTGCAGTTAAAAACCACAAAGTCTTAGTGATTAGAAACAATGTATGTCAGACTATGATATTGTCACATAAACTCTTCACTACAGCATATTAATACTACCAAATTAAACATTGCCATTTGCTTATTTGTGCTATTTTTTTATCGAGCAGCTGAGCATCATTCAGGTAGGATAAGGAAAGTACTGCAAGGAACTGGAATACTAGATATATATGATATTTGATGATCCAGTTCTTATTCATTCTGGAGATTAGGAATGTTAGAGCAAGAGAATAAAATGTAGTAACTGTGAAGGGCAGCGCCTTTGGTGTACCACATTTGGTGCTATTTTAATATTTTATACTTATTTTAGGAAACAATTATGGTATCAGAGCAGCTACATACTTGAAGTTTGGGTAATTGCAATTGACAGTTTGGGTTTTTTTCTCTTCCTACCCTTTCCATCACCAAGAAGTGACTGCATACTTAGTTCTCTGGCAGCCAAGAGGGAAACTGAGGATATGTTAAAGGAAACATTACTGTGCACTGAACTTCCTATTTTCCCTAGAGATCTGCAATTGACAACAGTACTTATTTGACATGTTGGCAGCAGCACAGACAGGGTAGAAAGTGGACAGATTGCTTTGGTAGCCTAGTGTAGACAATTCATTTCAATATTCTAGGAACAGAAGAAAGTGAGAGTTGCAGCTAGCAGAAACTCCTTTACTTTTACTGCACCCCTTGTAAAGGCCTGTTGCTTATCCAAATCCCATTTGTCTCACTAAAATGCCAACAGAGGCTCATTTAACTCCTTCTAGCTGCCATTAATTTTATATATTAATCCTGCATTTCCATCATGCTCTGTTCCTTGAAATATCATTCTTGGCATCACAGAGCTGCTGTTCTCTTTTATTCTCCATTTAGGTTAAGAGCCTTGACCTAGCTCTAGTTATTCCTGTGTATCAATCTCAATGTGTGAATTTCTACTTTTTTTTTTCAGGGTATATGAGTCAAGGTGGCCATTCTGGATCATGTGAAAACAAGTATTGTGGTCTGGGTAGACACTGCGTTGTGAATGGAGGGACTGGCCAAGCGGAGTGTCTGTGCATGGAGCACTGCAAGCCACATTACAAGCCTGTCTGTGGTTCTGATGGAGAGTTCTATGAAAACCATTGTGAGGTGCACCGGGCTGCCTGTCTGAAAAAGCAAAAGGTCACCATTGTCCACAATGAAGATTGTTTCTTCAAAGGTAAGCATGGCTGAACAATATCTGGAATCTTGCTATCATGTACGTGTTTTCAAGCAGTTCAATCAAAGCTCTATGGGAGGATCCACAGAGTGAACACATGAGTCAAATATTTAGTACAGTATGTATCTCACTCCAGAGATATCCTATGGATTTTTTTTTTTTTTTTTTTTTTTTCTCCGTGGTCCTAATTGTCATCCCTTCTTAAGCTAAATCAATTGTGAGGTGCACCGGGCTGCCTGTCTGAAAAAGCAAAAGGTCACCATTGTCCACAATGAAGATTGTTTCTTCAAAGGTAAGCATGGCTGAACAATATCTGGAATCTTGCTATCATGTACGTGTTTTCAAGCAGTTCAATCAAAGCTCTATGGGAGGATCCACAGAGTGAACACATGAGTCAAATATTTAGTACAGTATGTATCTCACTCCAGAGATATCCTATGGATTTTTTTTTTTTCTTTTTATTTGTACTCAGTGCTCTGATTAGTCATCCCTTCTTAAGCTAAATCAACCAGTTGTCTTTTGGAAATGAATCCATGGAAGCTTGTCTTATAAATATGGCTGTTGACCTAATCCATCTGAATGTATTTACAGTCCCAAAGCCTGAAGGATATTAATATTTGTTACAAGAAAAACAGAATTTAGGATTTCAGAGGCATTTTGTAAGGCTGAAGCACCTGCGCTTATACTTGAATGTGATTTGATAGCCTAACAGCTTGTTCATAGTTAAGTAAGTCTTCCTTCCTTTGAATTTGGACAATGAAGAGTTTACTTTTGTATTTACCAAAGCATGCAGTTTACCTACTTTTTAATCTTCTGAATGCTGAGAAGTATACATTGTTAAACATCTTATATTGTCACTTATAATGCCAATAACTGCAACTTTTTTATGTAGTTTGAGCACACCTTGCAGGTTTCTGAAACTGCTAATACAGACCTTGATTAAGCATATGTATGAGTGCTTTGACTGATTTGCAGTATGTTTTTACTGGTTAAAACAGACAGATGGCTTTTGGGGGGTGGGGAGAATGTTTTTAAATAAGGCCATTTGTAATGAGATCTACTTAGGGATTGAAGTAATTAATATTCTTTATAAAGACTGTCCCATTTCTGTTAACATATGTTGTGGACATAGTTGCATTCTCAATAGTAACAAATAATAACAACTATCATCACAGAAAAAAAATCTGCTGCAATATTTCTGTTAAATGAAACTCATCTTCAACATTAATTTAAATGAAAATATTCCACTTAAATCATAGTTTTCAAGATTGTATTCTAGTATAAAGTTGTTCAAGTGAACAAATTATAAACTTTCAAAGTTGAATTTTTCATTACATTTCTGGTTGAGGGATTGTCTTTTAAATGTAAAGTTAGGGGTTTTTTAACAAATCCAAACATTCCCCGTAATTCCCAAATACTTTCACTATTATGAAGGGTATTGTACTAGAAAAATTGAATTTGGGGGGTGTGGGGCGGGATAACTCACCAAAAATTATATTTTTTGTAACAATTTAATTAAAGAAAAAAAATATAATGCTTACACAATTGGGCTTTGCATATTTGTTCATTGCTGAGTAGATAAGGTGACTGGCAAGGCCAAGCACTGTGCTTCCTTCAACAGGACATGTTAAGCTCAGCAACTTTATCAAAACATGTTAGGGGTCCATAGATTAAACAGGACTGTGTGAAAATCTTATAAGGGGAAATACACTTGTAAAAATGAAATTTAAAATTTGTTCAAAATTAACTGTGGACACTATAAAAATTGATATATCATCATGATATATAGACTTTAAATAGCATGTTTTCTGAAGTAGTGGAAAATGAATATTTTATTTCAGGTGTATAGCTTATAGGGCTTGTAGCAAATGGTTTGTATTTCAAAAAAGCAAACAATCTCAACAGTTTTTTGTTGTGTGTTTTGTTGTGTTTGTTTTTTTTAATTCAGTACTCTGATAGAATAAATGACAGTAAAAAACACTAAAATGTTCAAATTTATGGTACTAATTTTAGTTCTTCAGTGTGCTGTACACGATAGAAATCAATTCAGAACATGTTTGTGAAAAATTGTATTGTTTCTTTTTCTGAGGGGAGGAAAAATGTAGTGAGGTTTATTTACAGAAATGGAAAGTGAGACAGTACTTCAGCTAGAAATATCATTCAAACACTGCCTAAAGTTTTGGTAGCTCCTCCTTAAGTTTTAAATTTACCATGTTAGATTCGTGTCTGTTGTAGTGGACAATGAAGTATCCAAATGGTGTTCAACTTCTGGTACCTAATTTAGATGCTGGATTTAAAAAGTAGGTTTCTCTTTAGTCAGTGGTAATATTCAGAAAAGGACTAAGGTGTGCAAGTTACTTGTTCTGAGTTGCCTTCTGAAAACTGTTATATACCAAGATACTCGGGTCTTCTAGATGACTACAGAGTGTAAAATATTTAATTTTCTCTCTTCTTTCTCATGTTCACTCAATTTATGTTACACAGGTGAGGCTGGGGACAGATATTTTCCTTTATTTTATTTGGTGTATATTAATTTGGCATATATAGGCTGTACCAATTACTAATTGTAATCTTGTTAACTTCAGCTTATTCATTGCTGTAGCACAGCACAAATGACAAAGCATTGTTGCCATTTGTGGAATATATTCTCCAACATGGTGGTGGGTTGACCCTGACTTTATCAATCCCCTTCTCAGCTGGACCAGGGGAGAGAAAATATAAGGGAAGGCAGGGAAAGAAGTAGGAAGTTTTAAGTATCTCTTTGTCTTTCCCAGACAACTGGTGCTGTTATGCAAATTGTACATTTTTTACACGGATCAAAGTAATGGCCATCCTTAGTTAGAAATTACTTTTTCTCCACTCTTACAGTAATTTTTCTGTCAGATGCTTATTTGTATGTCATGATGTCTTGCATCAGACACTGAACAATTTTTCTTAATGTCCTAGATGTTGACTGTGACCATCTGAGTTAGTCAATAAGCTGTCTCAAATTCTCATATGGAGGCAAAACGTATTTTGCAGAGAAGCTAATTAATTTTAGATCATAGAAGAAAGGATCATATTAGAAGTATTTTCTATACCTATTGAGTACTTAATTTTCCACCTGGGAAGTTCAGTGTACTGTGACTTGCTATTAGTGAATGCAAGTTCAGCAGTCACTTTCAGAGATGCTCTCAGGCCTTAACTGTGTAACAATATTTTAAAATATTAAAAATTATTCATAGAACTTCAAAGAACTCTAGGAAATCCTTGGTGATCTAAGGAATGTTCTGTGTAAGAAAGATCTCAAATTATTATTTCAACTGATGGAATGGGGAAGTAAGCAGTTGCTTGACTCGTAGTTTACTTAGCCTTGGTGTTTATCGTTTTTGTGGCTTCATTAGTTTTTAATGCCTGAACAAAATATAGGAGAAGATAAAAGTGAAAGGAAAGGTATTAATAGAGGGAAGGAGAAAAGGAGTGTCAAGGAGAAAAGAAGGTGGTGGATAAGTGGTGGGATGGTGAGTTTAGTGATGGGAAGTAGAGGAAACATAAATGATTAACTAAAGGAAATAGCAGTGGTGAGAATCTAAGTTCAGTTATTCACTAGATCTGACATTGACAGTGTGAGCAGGTAAGTGTGACATTCTGATGCCATTCTGGTTTGGCACCACTTTTGTTGGCTTGCTGACTACATGGCTATTTGGATGGGTGGCTTCTGCAGGCTCTCTGCTTCCAGTGTTCTGGCTGTTCTCAGGCCATGCACTTCGTGTGTCAGAGCAGATTAACATTTTGTGCAAGAAGAAATCAGGCCTTCTGGTTCTCGCTACTATTGATACTGTTGTATAACGCCTTCCTGGCTGTCACATTCTGTACATTTTACATTAAATCTATTTCTATACACAGAGATACACCCAATTGTTATGACAAACTGTTGTTTACTTGGAATGCTCCAGAATGTAATAGGTACTCCTATGTATTATGACTTTTCTAGAATATTTCTGGGATAAAGGTTACTCCATATTTAAGCTTTTATTATAAGTAGCTTCTGTAGCATCCTTATTTTACTTGTCTTTCTATCCTTGTCTCATTTTTCATTTGGTGAATCTTTTAATCTGTTAAACTGTCTGTAAGCATAATTTTTTTTTACTGCTCTTACTAAAATGGCTAGATTTCTTAGGACTGCTGTGTTCTGGCCAGTGTGTTTTCTCAAAAGAGAAAGGAGAAACTTGGGAAAGGAAAATTTGCTGCAGATATGCAGTTGTTCAAGGCAGCGAAGAAAAGAGCTATGAACAGATTCAGAAGCAGTATGGGCAAACTGGAAATACTCGCAGATGATAACAAGATGATCAAAAGTACTAAATGGCTTATAAGGGATATGGAGAAGGCTTACAAAATCAGCAAGGCATGCTGAGTATAGATATGAGTAGTCTATCTGGTATTCCAATAAAAGAACTAAAAATTAACAAGACAGCAGGAGCAGATTCAGAACAAAGCTTTGGTGTTTGTTTTGCGCACAGCACATCTCTTGAGAAAAAGCAACACAGGATTTTAGAAGCAGACTTTGCAAATACTAGGTGAAAGGCTGCAGGCTTTTTCTTTTGAAAGTAACTTCAACCTAAATCCTAACAGTAGCCCACAGAAAAGATCTAGAACACCAGTCTAGCCTTGCAGGTGGCTGCAACAGGGATAGCTCTAATTCATTGTTTTTGTTTTGTTTTTTACTGTGTGTGTGTGATTTGTGCCCTAGGTGACTGATTTTAGGCTGGTTCCTAAAATACTGACACATTGATTTAGAAGCACTGATATATTTAATCTGATTTAATGGCCATATACTTTGAAAGCAGAATACAAGTCTTTGCCATCCTACCAATTTCAGTTCAGGAGATATTTCTTCTTAAATATAAATCTTGAATACCCAAGCTTATTATTTAATGTTAATCATTAGACAGTCTCAACAGACATTCACAATATGTTTATTTGAATGGCATTCTGGTATAATGTTTTCATTGCAATTGAAC